ACAGGACTTTAATATCACCAACCATTCCCATGTTATTACGGTGTATCCATATAAATGGCCCACCCTGTATATTCATGTTGTGTGCATTTATTTCAACAATGCACTTATTATATATTATGTAAATATATAGAGACAAAATCCTATCCTTTAGTTCTGTATTAGAGTTTTCACCATTATGACAAAATCATACACAGGTACTCTTTTCATTATTTTTTATATTTTTAAGTTGCAACAAAATAACGATTGAAAAATAAAAGCTAAGATAGGGCGTGTGTGTGTGTGTGTGTATGTGTGTGTGTGTGTCTCCAGGCTGTCAGGCTGCCAGATCACAGAGGAGGGCTGTACTTCTCTGGCCTCATCTCTGAATTCCAATCCTTCCCATCTCAGAGAGCTGGATCTGAGCTACAATCACCCAGGAGCCTCAGGAGTGAAGCTTCTTTCTGCTGGGCTGAAGGATCCTCAGTGGAGACTTGAAACTCTCTGGTATGAACAGCACACTGGCAGGCTGACGCCTTTCAGCTCACTGTCTGCTCCAACAGTGCAGACTGACAGTAAACTGAGGAGTCCCTGTCCTCACTCATTACATTTATTTCAGTCATGTTTTCAACACTGCTGCAAAATAACTGAGAAGGTTACATAGTTACTCACTACCTCGGTACTTGGTATTATTATTAATAACAACAATAATAATAATAGTACATTCTATTTAAGAAAGCACCATTCAAAACACTCAAGGACACTGTACACAAGCAATAACAACAAACATAACAATTTATAAGATAATAAGGATAAAACGTTGAGCAAATAAATAAAATAAATTAAAGTAGCAGGATGGAAAAATTTATGTGGAATAGGCTAATGTGAACAGGTGAGTTTTGAGTCTGGACTTAAAAAGAGGGAGTGAAGTGATGTTTCTTACCTCAGGAGGAAGGGATGATGGGGGGGGGGCAGAGCAGCAGAAAGGCCTGCGCCCCACAGTGGCTAGCCGGGGGGAGGGGACGGAAAGAGAAAAAGAGGAGGAGGATGTGAGACACGGAGAAGGGATGGCGAGCTGAACCAGGTCAGCGTGGTATGAAGGCGAGAGATGATGGGTAGCCTTGAACATGCACAAAAGTATCTTGAAATTGATGCAGTATTTAACCAGAAGCCAGTGAAGCTGCTGCAGAGCAGGAGTGATGTGGTGCACAGAAGGAGTCCTGGTGATGATACGAGCAGCAGAGTTCTGGACACGCTGAAGCTGATGGATAGATTTTTGACAAAGACCAAAAACTCTCCCTTGTGTTCATTATTCTCAATGCAAATGACTTTACTTCCCAGCAGCAGTAACACCAAGATACTGTTACTGACAGAAGTCCAGCAGTCTCCTGTCGGGCGACGTGTTTCGCTACAGCTAAAGACTTTTTCTCCTTTTCACTTTCATACAGCTGATGGATTTTTGACATTATTGTGCTTCTTGTTGGAGACTTGTGAAATGCTTGTAAAGCCTGTGTCCTCAACAATATTAATAGATCTGCAGTTTGTTGCAATTCACTTGGTAATTGTGTCAGTCAGTTTGTCCGAGGTAGACTTACTGAGTTCCCTCTGTGAGATTGGTTTATTGCAGGCTAGGGGACGCGCTAGCCAAAGTGCTAGCAGCATCTCCGACTAACGTAAGCTCCGTGTTAATGTTTTAAGCTGAGATTAAAAAGAAACTTCCTTCCTGCACAATGTGCACAATACTTTATGTCGGTCGACTGCTCCGTCTTGTTGCTTTTTATACTCAAATTTCCCACCGAGAGGGCCAGTGTGCTGTTTGTCATCATCCATATTGATTAGGTTCTGCTGCCCGTCACTAGCAGATCGACTGCACATGTGCAAAGGTAACTCTACTTGGACAAACTGCCCCAAATGCGTTGACAGAGACATTTCAGGGATTTTGAGTCATTCAGCGCTGCAGATGCGTTAATTGAGTTAAAGATTTTAATCGGATTAATCGTGATGAATCCACGTTGATTTTGACAACCCTAATATTAATCAGACTTTGTTTCTTCCTCCAGGCTGGAACATTGTGGCGAGCAGAGGCTGAGACCCGGTCTGAAGAAGTGTGAGTGTGTGTTCACTTATCTAAATCAGAAATGTGTGTGTGTGCATTCATTCTCAGTCTGACTGGAGATCCAAACAATAAACTCCTGAACTTTTCCTCTTACTAACAGTCAGCGTGTGAATAAAGCAGCACGTAAAAGCTTCAGGCGATAAAGCGTTTGCTGTTTCCTCTCTCCATCAGATTTCTGTGCACTTGTGCCGGACACAAACACATTACACAGAAACCTCAAACTATCTGACAACAACAGGAAGCTGACACGTGTGGTGGACGAGCAGCCGTATCCCTTTCACTCAGAGAGGTTTCTCTCATATGTGCAAATGGTGTGTACCAGTGGACTGACTGGTCGCTGTTACTGGGAGGTGGAGTGGGAAGGAGTGATTGACATAGCAGTGAGTTACAGAGAAAACAGAAACACTTTCCAAAGGGTTCGGTTTGGAGACAATAACTACTCGTGGAGTCTAAGGTGCTCTCATGTTGGGTGCTACGCGATGCACAATAACAGAGGAACACGCGTGTCCTCCTCTGTCCTCGACAGAGCAGCAGTGTACGTGGACTGGCCTGCAGGCACGCTGTCCTTCTACAGGATCTCCTCTGACTCACTGATCCACCTCCACACCTTCAACACCACCTTCACTGAACCTGTGTATCCTGGGTTCTGGTTGTCCAATCACTCCTCAGTGTCTCTCTGTAGCAGCGAGATCCTCCAGTGAGGACACGCACTGACACACACGAACAGATGTTTATTATTCTTTTCTCGTCTGCTAGTTTAGACCGAGTCGCGTCAAGTCCTCAGACCTCGGAGAGAGCCCTGGCTCGCACTGAACACTTGTGGACACTTGGTGGCGCCACAGCGAATGTAATCGCTAGAATGGACCGGATGGATGGACTGATGGTGAATAATACAGACAACCTGCGACATTTTCATCATAAACATGTTCATTTCGTCAGATTACTGGACTGTTTCTGTGGTTTAGATGTAAATGTACAAAAACGGGTTTTAAGGAAATTAAACTACAGATCACACATCACGGCTGACACAGTGTCGCACGGGTGTTTCTTTTCATTCTGATCTTCAGATTTAGACTCAGTCATCGAACTGAAGCTCAGATTCTGCATTTTTCTGCATAAACTGCATCTTTTCCTCCTTCTTAAGTGATTTTCTTTTGACTGTGCATTTTGTGCATCTCTAAATCTGATCACTAGAGAATAAAGCAGACCCAAACTTCACAGACAGGAGAAAGGAAGCGAGTCATGCCTGATGTGAGAGTTCACGCTGGACCTTCTCTCTGCTGACCCCATGTGGCGACACAGTTTTGTGTTATCCACATGAGGACAGTCCAGAGAAAACAGCTCTTTATTACAGAGGCTCAAATATGAATAAGACTCATTTCCAGTGACGCTGAAATTAAATTAGGCTCAGCTGTTCCTGTTCCTGCTGAGAAGATGATCCAGTTTCACTCTGCCTTTTGTCCATCGTGACGACCCTACACCTGAGGACATAACGAGTTACACCTGCATTACGACCCGTGCTTCAGACAGGAAACAACTGTACGAGCAGGTTTTAATAAACAGTTAATTTTTAAAACACAGGCGTGCGGGTCTCGAGATGCGAGCAGCGAGTTCCAGCGTCATCGATCCGTTTGCTGAGAGTAATATTGCAGCAGCTTTGCTGGTCAGTGTAAAGCAGCTTCAGGCAACAGACTGACAGGATGGTCTTATCACCTCTGCTTTCATCAAGGATGCTACAAAGTCTTCTCTGCTAAAGGAGGCACTGATGTGTCCTTTCCTTCTTACGCAGACAATCGCACCAGCTCTGCATCATGGCTGCAGCGTGCAGGATGATGCATCATTCAGCTGCATCTGCTGCTGAAAGTTGAGCAGAGTGCATCAGTGCTTCCCAAATGCTGTGCCTCGAGGTTTTGGGTCAACCAACCTCATTAGTAGCTGCTCGAGCGCAGACTGTGTTCACACCGGCTGATAGAGCCCACGCCTCTGCTCTTCCACAATAATCTTTGATCTGTAGATTATTGTGGGAGGAGGGAATAGCAGTGTT